GAGGCTCTCTCAGCCTAGACTCTTTTGGGAAGGCCTAGGCCCTGCCCTCGATGAAATGGCAGATGCTGGAGATCCCTCATGGAGGGGCTCACCCACCATTTGGATCGGAGTAGAGACTGAGTGAGGGACTGGAGGGCCTAGTGAGAAGAGCAGGTGAGGAGGGGAGGGAGAGGGAGCTGGGATTGACATGTGAAGCAAGCTTTTTTTCTAACTTAAATTTTTAAAAAAAGGAAGAAAGAAAAAAAGATACAAAATTGCCCCTATTGGGTTTTGTTATTGGTATTTCCATATAGTATTAGTGAAACCATTTAAAAAGTGGTAAAATAATGCAAATGCAAATTATTGGAATTAGGAAATATTGGAATTCATTTAAGAATCATACTGTGAAATTTGCCAAACTATCTTGTTTTTAACGTAGTGGAAAAACAGAGCTATATGAGAATTACTCCTGAAGGCCACCCTGTAAAGAGAATGTAGAGAATTACTGAGGAAGGCAGAGTTAAACACTCTGGTTGTACTGACCGGAAATTTCATACTTAAAAAATTTGAGAGTTCATGCAGGATGTCTCAAACACTTCACAACTTGGTTGCATGGTAAACTGGGCAGACAACTCTCCACATGGGTGCTTAGCCAAAAGGCAGAAAAAAAAAACAATAATAGTTCCCTCTGACGGCATTTCATAGCATCTCCAGGATGTCCCCTGGTCCCTTGTAAGCCATGGAAGCAATTGCTAGCAAGCACAGTTTTGAAGTTGGGCCCAGCCTGATCACATAACCTCTCTCATCTGAACCCTCAGTGACTTTGTCCATTACTTTTACATGAGCTGAAACATAGTAGGTGTTCCCGGCTCACTGCATACATTCTTACTAAATAGTCTGGTTCTTCTTGTTTATAAACTGACACTGTTGTTGTTTTCTTCTTAGTGTGTTGGTCTCTGTATGTGGCATACATGGTGTATGGCTGTGTGTGGAGGCTAGAGGTCATGTGTCTTCCTAAATCATTCCACACCTTACACATTGGACAGGATCTCTAGATAGAGCCCAGGGTTTGCCAAGTTGTCAGTCTAAGTCGTCAGCTTGGCTGAGGGAGTCCCTTGTCTGGTCACCATGCTCATCTGATATTCACATGGGTTTGGCAGTTCAAATGATGGTCTTTGTGTTTGCATGGCAAGGAGTTTACTCACTGAGCCAGAGGGTGGCTCTTCTCTTGGAAATGCTATCTCAGTTCTATTAACTCTTATCCCTAGCCAGAAAATAAATAAAAATAATTAAGAAAACTACATGAACTCTTAAATGTAGTTCAAAAGTTTTTAACCAATCAATTCTCCAGGCCACACTAGCATCTTCCATCTTTGTACTCTGTATTATAGGTTCCTGATTTTAAATTAGTGCATTCCTTACTATCTCATGGAACATAGCATATCTTAGTCACCTACCACATTTCCTAGGAGTCCTAGATTTTTCCAATAAACATTAATCACGGTGTTTATTATTTTACTTGTAGCATTTACATTTAATATTTGTGTATTGAAACAGCCATCTGTCTACAAATCAAGAGTGTGTAATCTGACTTTCCATTTTAAAGATGGGAAGACTCAGCTTGAACTACTTGTGTTGTCCCACTGTGACTGGATAAATTTTCTTCTCCTCACACGTCATCTCCTAGTGACGGGAGGCTGTGCAGTAGGTACTTTTTGGTTAATGGCTATGACTATGTCTGTTATGACACAGAAATAATATATAGCTGAGAGGTATACTCCTGAAAAATATTTACAAAACTGAACTAGAACAAGTGGTGTACAGCTGGCAAATTAGGGGCTGCGTGAAAATTATTTAAGGCAACTTTGGGAACTCACACAGTTGTTATCAGTTGACTTATTGAGTGATATTGAAATATCTCAAAAAATTTGAATAAATTTCATTTTCCTTGGCTTGACTTTGAGCATTTTTCTAGGAACCATCCTAACTTGCCTCTTCAGTGTCATCTTTATCTCTAATAAGTCACCTTACAATGTAATCTAGTTCAATGATTTATTCATTATCATCCAAGCACATCTCTTGCTGGGTAGCACAGGCTTGGTCTCAAACTCTGGATTTCCCTGCCTCAGCCTCCCAAGTGCTGGAATTAGAGGTATGCAACTCCAGACCTGGTTTATCTTAAACTTTCTTAATTATATTACTGAATATAAATCTTCCTCCATTTCTTTTAATAGATTAATTATTACTCCTTCTTGTAGATGTATCGAAAAGCCTGTCTTCATTTATAATTATTCATTTAGCAATTAATAAGGCATTCATATCTGAGTGTACGCTTTATTGTCTTGATTACCTTTGGCATTATTATTGGTTGCACCTTTCTGACATTCAACACTACCTGTGGATTCTCTTTGATGTCGGAAGAGCACTGAATCTTTCTTTGCATCCCATTGGAAAACTTATTTTTCTCTCTACTGTTCAATGTCCTTAGTTGCAGGAGGGAGTGGCACAGGGGAAAGGAAGGCAGAGCTACTGGCTTCCATTACTAATATAAGCATGCCAACTTTAATTTTACCATATGTGGGAGCTCATCCCCTATGGATGTCATGAGGCTAGTTTTATATTCCCTTTTGCCATAGGAGACCTAGTGCTTTTTTAGCACAGTAGAGATAGTGGAGTAATGCTACATACAGACTGGAAGTGAGCTGTATGCGCTGGAAGTGAGCTTACTTTAGCTTAAAGTTGCAAATTTTCAGCCCATGGTCATTGAATCTAATGATCTTAGAGCCCAACATGAATACATATACCAGAGGCTGCTCACACCATGAAGCATCAGAGAGAAGGGACAGGGGACAAGGGCTAGCCTTTAGTTCACGTCCCCAGTGGCTTATTTCTTCCAGCTAGGTGCTATTCCTGTTTCCATCTCCTCCAAACACTGTGCTAGCAACTGGGATCCAAGTGTTCAACACATGTGCCTATGAGGACATTTCATATTTAAATCACAGCATGAACATAGTAAGACCTAAATTCCAATCCACACTTCATCACTGAACAGTCAGGATGTTACACATGTATAACTAGATTAGCTTCTCAAAATCTCAAATTCCTTACTTGGGAAAATAAAAAAAAATTGGATTAGATTATTTTCCCTCTTCCCTTACCATACTCACTTTTAAAACTACTCCAAATCTACGATACATCAAATACCCCCAAATGCCAGGAAAATTACTTCTTCAAATCTTTGTATAGTTGCTTGATTTTGAATTGCACGTATGATTTTTTTTCTATTTAGCCTTGACACAGTAGCATAATGGTTAAAGTCACCTGCTTTAATAATTGAAGACACACCAGTTATATCAGGAAATAAAGGGCAAGAAAACAAAGCACCCAAAGTACTCATCTCCAATTTTTCATAAATAATAGCTAGTTATCTAGGGAAGTGCAATGGCACCTGCTAAGTCTCTTCCTGTCTGAGTTCAGCCAGGAGGAATGCCAACCAGATCAGTAATAACAGCCTCCTGAGTGGGGAGAAATGAAGGCTGTTCAATTTTGTATTCTGCTCATTTCTATTTTAGAAGAAAACAGTTGACACTGTCTCATTGAAAAGAAAATGCACTCCGATTTCATCATCAAATAGTATTTATTATTAATCCCCAGAGGGAGCACGGGGCTGTGCTAAGCATGCCAATTTGCCTGCCACCTGCGAGTGGCATTTCTGTGTGTCAGAACCTGGTCTCCTTGATGTTGATGCTATAGGTTAGAAGGGGCAGTGACAAAAAGATTAAAGGGATGAAAAATAGACTTTGGAGGAAAGGTCACAAGAATTGCAAAAGGTTAGTCTGTGAAGGGATGGCAAAGGGTTGCCTGGTTACTGCCTCCCAGCCCAGGGAAGGCTTTCACAGGATGCATTATCTATGAGCAGGTAGCCTCTAACGCTGCAGAATAGCAAATAAGAGAGCGTGCATTTACATTAAGGAGAGGAAATGTTGAACTGCCTAAAAAAATTGGACTACTTAGACTGCAGAATTTCCTCCCTGGAAAGGTTTAAGGAAGACTAGAAGTTCTAATCTCCAGAGGGAGGGGCTGAGTATATCAGGTCTGTTTGAAAGACAGAACACTGGCTCTCAGGTCATGTTTGAATGGTCACCCTAAAATGACCACCTTAATTTCCAAATCAGGACAGTGTCACTGGAGCAGCCAAGGACCAGGAATGATTTCACTGTGGAATAGGCATGTGAACCAGCCCTGGGTGAGATTTTATCAAGAATTAGAGGAAAGGCAAAAGCAACAATGGCTGGAAGACACTGTGAAAACAGGGCAAGTGACCGGGATGCCTCGTCATTAACCGATTGAGACTTCCAAGTTAATAAGCACACTGCTTGAATTTTCCCTTTACTACTTAATCACATGATTGGCAAATTGCTTAGCCTCTAAATTTCAATTTCCTCATTTATAAAATGAAAGAGTCTTAATTTCACAAGAGTGTATTGGACGTATAATACAGTGTGTGACACACAGTAGGTGTTTAAAATAATAAAGTGATAATACCTATGGTAGTGATTAGTACTGTTAAAGAAAAGCAATTCAAATAAGGTCAGCATATGATAGTTGCACAAATAAGCATTTATTAGGATATTCTCATGCATGTGTATATTCTACTTAGGTCATAATCAGCAACTTTATTACCTTCTCTTGTAATTAATTACCTTTCTTCATCTCTCATCATTCCCTTTCTAAAATTAAATTCAGTTCAAGTAGAAAATTCAATGTATATAAATGAATAATGGAAATACATGACTAAAAGTTAGAAGGTTTTCTAACTTTTCAGAAAGGGAACCTAAGGTTGTCTATGGTTTAATAGGAAAAACTTCAGACTTAATCAGCCTGGAGTTGAATGTGGTTCTGCCTTGCATCCATTCTTTGTATTCTAAGCACATCACTTCTTTGCCTTCCCATTTATCAGCTAAATGGAATAACCATGCTTATTTTGCCTAGTTGTGAAAAAAGGGAATGATTTTACTTACACATTTATGCTTTCATTCATCCACTACTGTCTGGTCCATGAAGGAAAGTGGTGATGTCTTGTGATAGTTTTAATTTATTAAGGTATAAATGTACGGTATTATATTATACTCAAGTGTCTTCAAAGTGTTCCTATAAAAATAATTATTATCCGTTTTTATTAATACAGCTCTAGGAAGTGAGATTGTCAAAAAAATCCAATACTCAATAACTAGCCAGCTCACTGAACCGTGATGATAAAGCAGAATTCCCCATCTTCACATAATTTCAAGTGAACTACATCTTATAAAATAATACAGAAACCTTTTTATCCTTTATGATCTTCATATCCTTTTACTGTGAAGATCCCAAATTTCTTTAGGTTTTTTTTCCATTAGTAATCATTATCACTATTTGCTTAAGGCTGTAATAGTTTTAACACAATGATTTCCTAGCTACTGAATAGAACCTAAAACTTATTAAAAAGAGAGAGAATGAGAAAAAAATTAAAAAATTTGAGAGGCAGCTCCAAATTATTCTGAAAACTGGAAGTGAGTCAGGAGCAGTATTTCCCAGTCACTGCAGAATTAATGATAATCCCCTCTGCTACTGTATGATTTGCCCTAAGACTTCTCTACACATAGGGGGCATGAATTAGTGAAAATGTAATATAAGTAAAGTGAGGAAAAAATTATATCCCCTTTTCTATTTAAGAAGCAAATAGTTATATCTAAGTCACTTAATCTTAACAGTTTCCTATAAACTCTTTACATGAATGTTATAATATTCATCCTTCCTCCCAAGCTTGTCATAAAGCTCAAAATAATCAATGTATGGAGCAAAAATTCTTGAAATGACTATGCACGTGGTCGTGATTAAATCCGTGGCTCACGAAGCTAAAACAAAAACACATGCAGATGGAATCGGGACTTGGTGGGAAGAACAAGGGAAGGGGGAAAGATAAGTGCAATCAGAATGTATTACCTACATTTATCAATTCGTCAAAGAATAATTTCATTTCATTTCTATAGGTTCACAATAACCAATTAGACATTTGGGGATTATTAGAAGAATGATATTTCTGGTTTATATGGGAAACTACAAGTGCAGAAATGTATCCTAAAGAATTATAATAGCCCACACATCAATTTCAAGAGTCTTAACACCCATGTGGACCTTGGTCTAATCTTACCAGTGAAGTCTTGCTTATGATATCTTCGTAGCTGGCTGCTCTATCACAGTAATTGCCTTGTGATTTCAACAAAATTAAATGTTTCACCTATTCAAGAAATGTGAGTGCTACACTATTTAAGTGTAAGATCCCACACCTAAAATGACTATAAAGCATCCACTCTAGAACATGAAGAAGATAGATGGACTTCCCTTCAGGACTGCACAATCTCATACTTGTGTATGTGGCTTGAAGACTCCACATACACACATCCAAGTGCACATTCCTGGTATCTCTGTGGCTGCATTCGCAGACTAGTGAGGGCAAGTGCATCTGGTTCTCCACAATGTTCATTATATGCAAAACTATGGGAACTATGTTTGTCCTAGAAAATTACAAAGCAAACATTAAAGACTTATAATCTTGAGGAAGAAGACAGGGGACAACAGATACAATGCGTGAATATAATACGACAAATCAGAGGCATATGCCAGACACTTAACCATGAGTTTCAGAGTCTTGTGATGCCCACACCATTTTATTCCAGTGGCTCTTGGAGATTTTCCTCCTTGTTTCCCTCCTCCCTTCCTTTCTGCTTCCTTCCTTCTTCATTCATTTCCTCCTTCCCTCATTTTTTCCTTTGTCCTTACTTTATTCGTTCATTTCCACCTTCCTCATTCTTTCCTTTGTCCTTCCTTCTCTCCTTGGTCAGGACATAGGAAAAGAATGGTGCTGTATTTAACACGGTGTAGGCTTTACCGGACGCTGTAACAATACGCGACACACAATTACTGACAGTAAAGCTAAGTATTTAATGTAGAAAATTACTCACAAGATACCAAACCCAGAGGAGCAGTTTTCAGTGGCCGACCCGGGAAGCCGATCTCCAGAAAAAGAGACCGAGACTTCCTGTGTGCTGTCTTTTATGCCTTCCCCCGTAACGCCCCTAGCCATGCCCAAAAGCGGAACTACGTCACTAGCCAGGCCCACTTTTGGCATGGCTAGGGGCGTTACGGGGGAAGGCATAAAAAGACAGCACACAGGAAGTCTCGGTCTCTTTTTCTGGAGATCGGCTTCCGGGTCGGCCACTGAAAACTGCTCCTCTGGGTTTGGTATCTTGTGAGTAATTTTCTACATTAAATACTTAGCTTTACTGTCAGTAATTGTGTGTCGCGTATTGTTACAGTGTCCGGTAAAGCCTACAGTTTGGTGTCAGAAGTGGGATTGGAATCCGGACCCAGGCACCCAGAAAAACGGCTTCTCTCGGCCCGACCAGGCACACGTGGACTCTCCTTTCACTAAGTTCCTCACCACTTGCTCGGCAAGGCACGATTCCTGCCGCCAGGAACCAGCACCTCCTACCTGCCGGTAAGGTTAGGTGGTATTCCAAGAACACGGGAATGACCCAGTCATTTGAATCCTCTTCTCAGAATGATCTTGGTCTGGATCTTCTCCTGCAAACTGGGACATAGCAAGTTGCCTGCGGAGACTAGATTCTCTACCAAATGCAAAACCAAAGCCTTCTCTGTTATAGAGAAGTTGCTTTCCTCAATGATACTTCTCTAATGATCACATATTGTTTCCTAGGAAGTACTCCTAAATTATTTAAGAGGAACAGCCTGTCACCCTGTGCACTAAGATCTGACTCTGCACATCCAGTCCCTAAGATGCACTTGATCTCATTCTTTTGACTTTAGGGAAGAAATCAACAGTAAAGGTTTTCTTTGTGTTTTTCTGTTGATTTGGAAGCATTGCTCACTTGCTTATTTATTCATTTGTTTATTTTTGTAAAGAGAAAATGATGAAGAGTGTCTCCTAAGGAGAAAGTACAGATCACAGATAATTCACTGTCACCTCTCCTGGTCTTGTACTTAAACCATGCTCCATGCAGTCCATGCAACCACAGAAACCAAGAACACATTTCATAATAGTTAGTTGCCAACTTTTTTTAAAGAAACATAATGCCTTAGCCTTTTATTCAGGGTGGCTTTCAGGTGATGAGAAACAAGAGAGAGAGGGGGGAGGGAGGGAGAGAGAGAGACAGAGACAGAGAGAGAGAGAGAGGGAGGGAGGGAGGAGAGAGAGAGAGAGAGAGAGAGAGAGAGAGAGAGAGAGAGAGAGAGAGAGAGAGAGAGAGAGAGAGAGAATTTCCCAGGGTGGAAATAGGATAGGGGGAATGGAAGGCAGAGAGGGGGGAGAAATGTGCATAGGGAGTGAAGATGGAAGGAATGGAAGGGAGGGGAAAGGAAGACACTGGGAGGTGAGGGAGGGGTAAGCAGAGAGGCAAACAGGATTGCAGGTAAAAATAAAACAGAAAAAGCCCAGGTGGGATTCATGCAAACTGTTCTCATCAACACTGCTACTCCTCCTGTCACTGCAACTGTCAAACAGGCTCCGCTCGTAATGAAAGGAAAAATATTTTATTCAGATTTATTAATTTGAAAATGAAGCCCGCCTGTCGAGAGGGGGACAGTTCTTCTCAATCTGTCATCGTTGAACCACACGCTCCTGACACCGGGATTCATTTGTCTTGTCGGCTCTGACAGTTGGATTCTCCCAGAGCTCTTCCTAGCGGATCGCCCTGGGATTTTAAACCGGATGAAACACATTCCGACAAGGAACAGCCTCTTTATTAATGCAAATTACATGAGGAGGAGAGAAAAAAAGAGAGAAAGAGAGAGGCGCCGGCAGCCGCTGTGGCGTTCTTATCCCTGTATCAGTCATCCGTTATTTACATTTATACACATTTTTCAGTTTTAATAAAAGGAGACCCGGATTTTCAGTGACATTTATGGACAGTTTGTTTCAAAAAAATGATGCCATCAATGTAATTGTATGCAAAAGAAAGCCGCGCAGCGCTCTCCTCTGTTTGCGCTGTGTCCAGGGAGCCTGGCCGCACCTCCTTCCTGATGCACACTACCGGGAGCAGCTTGGGTACCACCTGACCACCAGCATCCCAGCACCCGCGGGACCCTCAGCTCCTTGACAGTGCCCTACTTCCAGCATCCACCAGAGCCCTGGCCACATGGGCTGCCTGGACTGTCACCGGTCCCACTTAGGACCCTGGAGGCCTTTACATTACCAACGACCAAGGGCACAATTAACCTTCAGACCCATATATCACAGGGTCCCACCAAAACTAGAGCAGATTAGGAAAATGCATTAAAATCTTTTTTAAATAATAATGATGCATATTTAATTACAGAGCAAGACTAAATTCCGTTTCCTTTTTGTCAATGCAGTGCTTAAAAGTGTTTACTATTTTTTCAGTGAAGAAGGAGGTCCATTGATTTAAAAAAAAAAAAGGCCCACAAAGGTGATAAGGCATGGTATACAGGTAAGAGGTTAAGAAACAGATGTTCTCTCAGTCTCTCAGTGTTCCTGCTTGGATGAAAGCTTCCTGAAAGGAGGCAAGCAGGGAGCATCGCTTTTTTCGTTGGTTCCAGTCCCCCTGGGCTCCAAATAGCAAGACTCCTACTCCCTCCGTTGCTGTTGGTACTGCAGCTATGGAGATGTCAAACTGGGAGTTCTAGACATCAATAGACCTGGTAGATCACTTCCACTTCAACCCACTAGCTCTTACACCAAATGACACTGATTCCTGGAGGGAATGACTAACCAGTGGGACTTCCTGAGGTGGGTTAGCAATCTCTATTTCCTACTCTGTAAAACATAAGCATTAGGCCAGACCTGTGATGACTAAGGTGTGGCCAAGAGGTCAGCTGACCAAATTCTTGGGCCTCCATTCTGCCCCACAAATCAAAAACTCTGGAAACGGGAACTGATAGTCTCCACGTTGGATCTTCTGATATCACTGACCTTTAAGGAAAACTAGACAACTCCTTCACAGCTCCAAAACTCCATAGCTGTGTTTCCCTCTCTGGAACAGTTTAAAAGCTCCTCAGTACCCCATCCACAGGTTCAACCAACTGCAGATAAAAAAATCCTTGAAAAACGATTACATCTCTACTGAACAAGTACTGAGTTTTTTCTCATCATTATTCCCTCAACAATACAGTCTAACAACTATTTACATAGCATTTACATTGTATTAGATATTATAAGTAATTTAGTGGTGATTTATAGTCTGTGGGAGAATTGTGTAAGCTATATGCAAATACTAAGTCATTTTATATAGGAGATCTGAGCGCCTGAGCTTGTGGGTATCTGGGGATAGGAGGAGGAAATTCTGGCATCAATCCACTGTGGATTCGGAGACCATACCTTATGCATATTTTAGAAGTGAAAAGCATTTTACTAGGTTTTGTGGGTTCAGGCTATATCTTTCTTTACACTTGGGATCTTTATTTAAACACAGGAAGTTAGAAAAGCAAGATTCATCTGGCAAGGGTCAGACAGGGCTGTCATTTCTCTAAAGCCCTGTGGGTAGGTAACCCTGGTTTTCAAATCTAGATGGCTATCTAAACATGAAGCATGCAGAACAGCCTTGAAACGGGCAGCCCCCTTCATTCTCCCTAAAATTTTCTTCCCAATTAAATGAAGGGCAAACACAAGACAAATAGCCAGAAAGGCAGGCAATGAGGATTTTAGTGATGGGAAAGGATACAATTAATGGAAGCTGGAAGGGGGAGGTTTTCTTCTGCCTGTAAAACAACACAAAAGACTATATCCAGCCAACATCCACGTGTAAAACAAATGCTGGGACCAGTGCACATTCAGCATCAGGGTATATATGTTTGTTTAATGATGTCTCCACGGTCTATAGAATTAATATTTAATAGCACTTGTCAGCAAGATTCTATACAAGGGTTTGTTCTGCCTCTTCTTAATGCTTGTTAGTGGTTGTGTCTTCCTGGTTGACTTTAATATTAGAATTATGTTTTGCATTTGCAGTGATGTCTGTCTACTTTCTACTTTCAATTTTGTATTATTTGGCAGGGTGGAGGATATAGAGAGACATGTAACAGAATTTAAAAGACTTTAATTAGTGCCTCTTCTCTACTCAGAGTCCTAAGACACTATGAGAAATGAATGTTGTTTCTTGTTGGTTTTGCTAGTGCTGCAGGATATCTCATACAATAGACACCAAGTGTTTCTTGTTTCATTACCACTATTATATTACCAATATCAGCCAAAGGAATTGGTAAGTGACAAATCGTTGATTTATTTATTACTATGGTTTGGCTTGTTCCCAAAGATCACATGTTGACAACTAAATCCCCCATGAAACAATGTGGAAAGACTTCTTCAAGAAGTGATTAGATCGTGAGAGCTATGAGGCTGTGAATGGATTAATGCCATCAACACAGAGTTGAGTGTCTGATAAAGGGAAGTTGGCTCCTTTTCTTATGCACAGTCATTCTTACTTACATGATGCCTTCTGCCATGATATGAGGTAGCAAATGAGCCGGGCAGTGGTGGCGCACACCTTTAATCCCAGCTGGACCGATAGCCTCCAAAACAATACAGAGAAATCCTGTCTCGTAAAAACCAATAATAATAATAATAATAATAATAATAATGAGGTAGCAAATGGTGCTCCTCAAGTATCCAAAACCATGATTCTGGATTTTGAAACTTTAAGAACTATGATAACTAATAATCTTTACAAATTATGTAATTGGGGTGTTTTGTTATAGCAGCAGAACAAAATGAATTAAGAAACACAAATCGCAAAGAAATAACAATGTTTTACTTTCTTACTCAAAGTTACTTGTTTTGGTCTCAAAATGGAATACTAGTCAGTAATATGAAAAGGAGCACAAAATATGTATTTAAATTCCATACTGAGATCTTGAGATTAATGGAGAAGCTTGTCTTTCCTAGAAAATCATGAACTGGAAGGTTTCCTGGAGTAGAAGTCAGTAACTTTGCATCTACAGTAGGAAAAATGGAGCACTTGGCTTCACTTCTCATTCTGCTTCAGTTTCTCCACTGTTGTACATACACAAATTATACAGACTAGACATCCAGAATCCCAATCTATATTATGCAGAATAACCCGGACTCACAAACATGTTGAGTTCCATACCTAATCCCATATAATAAGTCACAATCAAAATAAAAGTAGGATGAAATATTGCACAAAAATTAATCTCATGAGACAGGGAGACAGTTTCGTGGGTAAAAGTACTTGCTGTACAGCCTGAGGATCTAAGTTCAAGACCAGAAAGCCACAAAAAATCATATATGTTGGCACATATCTGTGATTTCAGCACTCCTACAAGCAAGAAAGGAAGCAGAGACAGGAGAATTGCTCAAAGGTTCCATATCAGTTACTCTGAAACAAGTGGAGAAGAGACAATGAACAAAAGAGACCCTGCCTTAAAACAAAAGGGAAAGAATTGACTCTAAAGAGTTGTCCTGAGACCTCCACTCACACTCTGTGGCATGCATGTGCTTGTACCCATACACAACACACACACACACACACACACACACACACACACACACACACTTTCTTATATTTTTGGTTGTGAACCTACCCTTTAATGGCTGAACCATCTCTCTCTCCAGACCACACACACACTTTCCTAAAGCATACCTTATCCTTCAAGATTCTTTGAATTCTGTCATATGCCTGACACATAGTAGGAGTTCATTAAATAGTAGCTATTATCTTCAATATGATCTTGAATATGTAGTATAAAAGTCAGTCAGATAGTTACTTGATAATATCAAGGTTTCAGTCACATCGAGAGACTTTTTAAAGACCAAGAGCTTACAAGATGTTAGACTGGCTGGATGGCTGACAAATCCAAGCTTTGAGCACAAAAGAATAACACTGTTATATTAACAACAGAAACTTGGAAATATTTGTCAATAAGAACTGTGCTCAAAGAGTCGTGGTTATGTTAGCTTTGCAGATATTGGTTTAAAAAAATTAAAAGCAAACACTGTGAAATGAAAATATTGCTCCCTGGTCCTATCCTTAGTAATAAAAATGAACTTCCAAGTTCATGGTTTTGATAACTCAGGTTCAAATTCATGCTCAAGAATTTGCCAAAACAGTGGAAGTCCCAGCAACTGTGTCTTCTCTTCTGATTCTATGCATAATTTGCACATTCTGATTATTGACCTGACCAAAACCATCCATGTTGTTTTTCCACCAGTATAGCATTATGCTACTTTCCACCCTACTCTAGGTATTTTCCTATATTTCATAGACTTCATTGCACTTGGTTTAAAGAAAACAAAATAAATTTGTTTCCCAGGAAATCTGCATGAACATATGCTCCAAAGAAGGTACCCTACTGAGAGTCTTGGCCATTGTTTCATTAAACAGTATTAGTAACAAAGTGTGATGGCAGCCATTGATGCCTAGCTTGAGGGTAACCTCTACTCTTGTCATTGTTATTTGACAGCATACAGGTGCCATCTTGGAGAAGGTGAAGCAATTCAGTGAATCTAGTGAGATCATTCCACCAGAATCAAAGGACTCACAGGAGCTAATAGCATTCAAAAAGCTCTCTACAGAGCTCATTTGGATTGTATCAGATGGATCTGGATTGATGCCTGTGAGAAGAAGTTAAAGGAATTACACATACACACATTAAGTTTTCCTGAACTATTTTTGGGGTTTTTCTCTTTTTAGTTTAAGAGCTATACACACTTTAGGGACAACAAGAGCTATCAATGGGTAGAAGTACTTGCCACCAAACCTGACCACCTGAGTTCAGTCCCTAGAACCCACAGAGTAGAAGGAGAAGACTGCCCTCTAAACCCCACAGGCATAGGGGGAAATCAAATAAATGTAATAAATAGTAAATATTTGAAAGGAACATTTAATTCTGAAGACCACAAGAAGGAATATAACCCTCAAGAGCTTAAAATACACAGCCAAAGAGTAAAAGAGAAAAAAAATCACCCAAATACACAAATTCACTTACATACTATGACCCAAACTTTCAAAATAACAGGTTACAATTCTCAGGAGATGACTCATTGGGTAAGAGCACTTGCTGTGCAAGCTTGAGGACCTGAGTTTGAATATCCAGTGCTGGAGTGAAATTCTGGACCTGACTACCCTGTGTCTCTACAGTTACCCTGGGCTTGGCTGTAGTTAGGAAGGAGACAGGAAGACTGCTGAGGTCTACTGCCCCCTAGCAAGGCCCTGTGATTCATCCTCATGCTGAACCAGTAAGAACCCTATTGTCTGACATCTACATTTCAAATGCACTGGTTTTGTTTTTCTCCAGTATCTCAAAAAGCTGAACTTCCCACT